GGCGCTGTGGGTTTTGGTCATTCTTTCTATAAATTTGTTTCGATTAGCTTTTCCTTCATCCTAGCCTGCAAATACTAATTTCTGTGTAGTCTGCAGACTTTCTGAGCTTCCTTTTATGAGGCAGGTTGAGAGAAGTATGTTTGCAGGATAGCTCTTAGCAAGAAAATCTTTGAAAATCTTTGTATTTAAGTTTGGTATGTAATATTTATATTTTTATGCAAGTGCTTGTAAAAATGTTACATTTGAGTAGGGAATTGAGACAGTTGCATCAGTGAAGAACAATGAAGCAAAAACCTGATAACTGTTTTAAAGGTCGTGCAATAAATAATTTATATGAAGTGATTTTACTCTCTTTTTTTTCTGTTGGAAAAGGAAACTGGTGTTCCTGGCTTTAAAAGATGATAATATCAGTGTATTCAAGTATAATAATGCTAGTGGCCTAATATATACTGTTAATCAGACCTTGAGCAAATCAGTCCTTGTATGTCTTTCCGCTGGTAATCTGGCACTGATAATGCTTCTGTTTATAAAGTGCTTTGAGATCTGGTGGAAGGGCATTAAGTAAAACTGTCAATTCATATGAAGGGGAGAATGCCAATAAGTTGCTAGAACTTGTTTTAAATAAGGTGGTTCAGTGACTGGACTTAGAACTTTCACTTTACAAATTACTGATAACAGTACAGTAATCAGTGATGGTCTTAAACTGGTGAGCTTCTTTCCTACACTTCTAAGCTTTCAAAGAAGCCTTGTCTTGGTATTCCAGTTGAAAATTGTCCACTTGGCTTTTATCTCTTTGTGTCTTAAGGCAACTGAATGGATAGTTTTGTTTTGTTTTTCAGAGCTATAAGAATGTGAACATAACAGCTAGTGGTTTCAATGTATATTGTCTTTTTGTGTTGTTTCTGTTTCTGAACTGTTGTTTCAGGAAAATGATCTCTATAACTTTCATTTTGATTTGGATTTGATGTCTTGGGACTCCGATCTTTGGAATATTACAGGCCATACTTTTGCAGGTAATTTACCTTTTGTATTTTGCAGGTGTGACTGTTCCCCTCCACCCCACAAGGGAGAGCTGTTATAACTTCAGCACAGTGCTAACTTCAGTGAAACTACTTCATGTCATGCAGCATTTAGCTCTGTGATGAGAAGTCATGCTGTGTTTCAGTAGAATGGGTACAGCTGGCGAGGGCTGCCCTACAAGCTAAGCTGTTTAATATCTTTAATTTCTGCTGTACCTTGCTTCAGGAATTAAGTAGCTGGTGTAGGGCAGTGTGTTCTTTGCCGATCTCCCATTGTTAAACACCTGTGCAGTAACATTTCTTTATCTGCCTCTTATAGATGCAAGTGTGAAGACAGAACCCTTATCGCCAGCTGCTTCAAATTGTTCGGTCCCTTCTCCGTCATCTGTGGACTCTCCAGTGCAGAATGTGCCTGTATGTAGAAACCTCCATGTAACACAGATGGCAGCAGTTCAGAACCAGCTGTGACAAACAAAAAGCCGAGTGATTTACTTGTCTGACCAACTTCATGGCATAAAAGGAAAGAGCTTATTTTTCTAACCGTTGCAGAACTGATTTCCCTTCAGTGGTGTTTTCCTTCCTCTCCTGCTGTGACCCATTCTGGAAAGAACACGTTCAGTTCTGTTTCCTCAGTTGTGTGTATTGGCCTGGTTGCAAAACGAAATGCCTTCTAAAGTCTAGCAGTTGCTGGCCTCTGCCCCCTTTCACTCTGCTGATAAGGAGAGGTACTTCTTTGGCTTTCAGTGGTACTTACGTTTTGTTCTGCAGTTTTATTATGGTCAATGCTTTCTCCTGTTTGCTGAAACAGCAACATAGATGTGATGAAAGGCTGTTATACTCTGAACTGCTAGTAGACACAAGTTTCTTAAGCATTAATCTCATGTACTTTCTGTCCGCAGGATGATGCAGACTTCAGCTGTAGCACCCAGATGTCTCCTATCTCTCTCTATAGCAAGAGCTGCACAAGCCCTGCATCCCCTGAAGGAGATGAAGGGAAGAAGCCTGCTGTCAGCATCAGTTCTCGGTCTGGTATGAAAAACTGAGTTACTTTGATTCTGCAGATAGTATGCATATCGTCTTGCATATGGATGTTTAACTAACAGGGACTAGTATATCCTGTAATTTCTGATTCAAATTTGTGATTGGCTATGTCTGTTTTTAACAAATATTTTAGATGGGTAGAGAAACCCCATGTTAAAAGCTATGTTATTAAGACTTCAGTTCTTTATTTTATATTTTCTAGTGCAACTCCAAGTTGTTTTTCCTTTCCTAGCAAATAATTCTGTGAGGGCCCTGAAGAGGTGTGGTCAGACAGCATCCAGGCCTTCGATACAGCCGAAGCCCCTTTTGCCTGCTGTACCTGAGGCTCAGGCTAACATCGGCATCCCAGCTAAAACCATCATTATTCAGACTCTTCCCGCACTTGTGCCACTGACGAAGCATCAGCCAGTTGTTAACATCCAGCCAGCACCCCCTAAAGGTAGGTGAATTGTCTTGACTGAGCCTGGTCTGGTGGTTCAGGACGGTCACTAGAATGAAGTTAGCTTTTGCAGGTAAAATGGGAGGGTCAGGGGGAAAAAAGAGATGTCCTACACTCTTTGCTGGAAAAGTTTTAGGCTGAGAAGATGGCCTTATTCCTCTCTTACATACTCCTGTGTGAAACAGTACTCACCTGGGCATTGTGTGGAAGACAGGATAGCAACAGAGACTGCTGAGCACTAGCAGTTGTGAAGATAAAACTGCTGATTTGGAAGGATCTCTAGGGATCCTTTGCTTTACTTGTGATGGCAATTGGTGGTGCATATGGTGTTTGCAGAGCTATTCTGTCATAACCAAAGGAAGATCAGTTGGGATGGCTTGAATGAAGCTTGAAAGCTTGGAGGAATGATAAAAGACTTATTATTTTTTTTTTATCCACATGAAACTCTACCACAAGATGGTGGGAACATGAGTTTCTGGCTTTCTGATCTCACTAAACATCATTAAATAGGATGTTGTGAAACCTGTGAAGAGTTGAGAGAGCCATGTCAGAGGTTAGAATAGTAGCTTACAGCTGCCATCTGATATTAACAAAAGGCGAATGATTTCCTGTCTGCTGATAATTTTTCATTCCTCCCGTTGGGCTGTAACAGATTTTTGAAGTAGCTTGAGCCTTCGTTTCTGACTGCCAAGCATAATTTCCCTTGTCAGCTAAGGCATTAAGGACATGACTTGCATTGCTGACTTTGTCAGATGCAGTTGCTTGTTTTCACCAGCTGATGGCTGCAGTCTCTTGCTGTTGAGCAGGGAAGGAAAAGGAAACAAATACTTAAGGGCTTGTGTCTCAAAATTATTGCAATAGTGAAAAATTTGTCTTCATTACTAATTGCTCTTCTATCAGGAGTTAAGCCAAAGCTGGAAAGGCTGACATTTGTTACAACACGCCTAAGATTTTTGGACTAAAACCACAGGTCAGCACAGTCAGTGTGACCTAATTCTTATTCCTTCTGATGTTCCAGCTGATAAAATACCATCTGGAATAAGGAATGTTGGGGATATGGATTTTTTGGATGCAAGTATAGTACTGTGAAGATCAGCTTCTTTTTCCTGAAGATGTTGGGAGAGTAGTTTCTATGAGATACTATAGAAGAAGTACTGTTGGGAAAGTATTTCCATGCCATTTATCAGTTTTAAATGATGGTGTTCTTAAAAATTCTGTAGTGCCGCTTCGATAACAAAAACTATAAGGATCTTTTCTGCTAATCAAAATTCCCTGCATATGACAAGTTGGAGCTACCAGTTTGAAATATGCTATTATCTTCAAAGGAACATGAGGAATGATATTTTTACAGTCCTTTTCATAAAAGCTTAAAGAAGAAAGCATGATCTTAGAGCATCACATACTATATGCGTTAAAAAAAAATTGCTGAAATAATATCAGATTCACCATTTGATGTTCTTAAATAGGATAATACTAACTTCAAGATTCTCTGCAAAAAAGGAGATCTAATCCTACAGCTGATACATAAGAGATCGTGGTGCTAGGTAAATGACTTTGTTTTTCACCTTCCAGAAGGCTGGGTAAATGCTGTAATGCATCATTGTGCATTTTGGTTGGAATGCTCAGCTGGAACGTGCTGTTTCTGAAAGCTGGCGAGGTCATCCTGTTACAAAGGATTAAAGAGGCATTCATGTGTTTTCAGACAACAGAATATTACTCAAGCACCTGCTTGAGTTAAATGTAGTTGTTGGACTGAAATTTCTTGGAAGTGACTGTCTTTGATTCCATTTCAAACTCTGTCAAAATTACCTCATTTTTTCTGCCTGCTTTCCTTCAAGCTCTGTTAAGCTTGTGCATAAAATTTCTTACATAAGACTTTTTTTTTTAAATTGGTCTTGTCTTAGTGTGAATTGAGGCTTTAACTTGTGTTTTGAAAGAGTAACTTGCATTGTTCTTTCTTGTTTATGCTGTTTCTGAATTGGTTTGTATAGCATGAGTTAATTCTGTGTAATAAGGTTTTCATTGAATGCAGCAATAAAGTAGGGATGGACAAAAGGGAGAAGAAGGATTGAGGTGAGCTAGCTAAGTTATTTGAAAAATTTGCTCCAAGTTCATCAAGTATTAGCAGTACTGAAATGAGTAATATTTCTAACAAGTGTTGACTTTTATTAACTTTGAAGAGCTATCAGGTTTTGGGAGACACCTCCATTTAGTGGTTCCCTTTAATACGTGTAGTTTCATTTTGCAGGATGAATTAAGAGCTCTGCAAACTTTTGAGGTTTGGTTTGTTGTGGGTTGTTTTGTTTGTTTCTTTCTTTAAATTCCTATCCTGTGCAATATACTAATGCTGAAGAATTGGACTTGATAAATCATGTGGGATAGGAGAGGAAGCAAGGCTTTCTACCTTCTGTAGTGGTATTCCTCTACAAACTGGTCCTGTACAAATCCATTTCATATAATATGCTGAGCACTTCTGTTTGTTCTTATGTTCCAGGTCAATCAGTGGTGCTCCCCCAGCCCACTGTGGTACAACTCCAGGCTTCTGGGGTGCTTTCTGCCTCCCAGCCAGTCATTGCTGTCACCGGAGGGACCACGCAGCTTCATAATCATACAGTGAATGCATTGCCTCCAGCTGCTGGAAATGGCTCAACAAGTGGCAAAATACCAGTGATGAAGCCCTTGGTTCAAAGCACCACACCAGCAATGGGGCTGGATGTAAGTTCTGACTGTGTGATGATGGTTAATAACCAAAGCTTGGAAAGCATTGTCAGTTATCTGCATGTGGGATATAATGAGAGAACCAGGTCCCTTTAGTGTCTCAGGATGACAGAGCTGTAGTTGGGCTTGTCTAATAGGATTTCTAACAGTAAGCAAGGAATTTAGGCAGCTTGGCAAAGAATGGGGAAGGAACAGCTTCGTATCTGCTGGCTGGGCTGGAGTTGTAGACCAGGTGTGCAAGCACTGTGGCAGAAGATGGTGCTGATATATTTTTTTCCTTTACTTGTCTTCTCAACTGCAAGCTCTCAATGGCTGGAGCTTTCTTACACACAGGAAGATTTGCTGTATCTGATTTTTGATTAGTGCTAAACTATTTTTCTAATCCATATAATAAAAACAATCCTTCGGGAGTGGATTAATTGGAGATGTCAGCAGCAGGCCTGTTTATTTTTCCATCTCCTTTATCTCCCTAGATTTTACACATGATATTTTAGAAGTGTCAGGTATTGAGTTTCGTGTGAACCTAATCTCTTCAGGCTCCCTTCTGTTTATATGCTGAATGAGTTGAAAAGTGATGAGCTCTCAACAGTCAAATAAAGTTTTTCCACAGTAGCTCTCAGTAAGCAGTAGGTGTATACAGAAATAGCATTTGAGATGTGTGGGGTTTTTTCCCCCCTCTTCAGCTTTGACAACTAGCTAGCAAGCTGGGTGTTAACTTGATTTAGTGCCTAGTATGGAGCTGCTTTGGTTGCATTTTTTTGTCCAAAGGAACACGTGGTTGTGGAAAGTACTGAAGTTTCTCGCTTGTGTCTTTTAAACCCTCAGGGTGTCATTGTCCAGTGTGGTATTCCAAACGTAGTTGTCATGAGCTGAGAGTCTTATTGCATCTCTCAGTGTGAGGTAGAAGACGCTGCTGTCCACGCACGTGAAATTTTGTGGTGTGGTCACTAGCATGTTAGCAGTGCTGTTTCTCAAAGGCATGCACCTTCTGGCTTCTTTGGAAACGTGTTGTGGGGTTTCCTAGCATCTGAGAATTGCCAGTCATGCTTGCTGTTAAATTTTATTCACTATTTGTGTTTGTGTGGGCTGCATTTTTAGATGCAAAATTATTCACTCCAAATAATTCCGCAGCCAGACTGCAATGGAAACCTAATCTTGAATTTGGAGGATGCTAACAAAAGTCTGTCAGTAGACAGAGCAGTTAAGAGTGCTGCATTTTTAAATGCTAATTGCCTGCCATGCAAAGCCAAACTGAAGAGCCAGCAGTCCTTAGATTTGTGACCCCCTGTAATTAGGACCAGCATGGCACTATTGTCTGAATATAAGATTTAATTGACAAAGCACCTTTACTGTCATCACACTTCCTATACAAATCTGTGATGGTCAATAGTCAAATGTGTAGCTGGAGTAATGAACAGTTGTTTGTTTTGAATGATGATTGTGTGGGTATTTCCACCTGAAGCTGTTCTAGGGAGTCAGTTTTAAGACTTGGTATCAGCCTAAATGCTGCACATCTTACCTGTGTTTACCAAAATGTGAAAAAACAGTTGCGACTGCTCTTTGGTATATACTGTGAAATAGCAGTCTGAAAAAGAACAAATGCTTCAGGATGCAGCTGGCGCCATGAGGGTTAAAACATCTTGCGACTGCCATAGACGCCATATGTGGTGCTGCACAGATGTAGCTGTCATCTGAGCTCTGTAACATGTGTTTTTGTTTGCTAATCTAAGCAGATGTTGCAGGATAAAAAGAAACACTGCAGGACTTTCTTTTGGGCTTTGGAGGGATAAACTGTTAGCTTAACACTCAGCCCTTCCAATGGGTTAGACCGCAGTCGGCCGATAGCGGGCTGTTCGCCTGAGGCCTTGTGCTGTGCTTGTCCTGGTGGCACATGTTTACACAGCTCGCCAGCCACAGGAAGTGCCAGGCTTTCAATGCGGTCACTCTTCACTAGGAAACTGGACAAGGGAAATGCTACCTAAGC